AAACCGTGTGAACCAAATTCGACCAATCAGAAAATTCCATTTGTTTTCAATTAAATTTAAATAATAAGGGCGTTTATGTCATTCTGTACATTTATGTAATAAATATGGTAGTTATTCATTCCTATTAATTATGGAAATAAATAAAAGAAACCATAAAATAAAGGAAATGTTTCACTCATTTAAGATATTACATAATTAAAATATTGATCTTAATATTTGGAATTCATTGAATCATGTTTCACTTTATGAAGATTTACGGCAATAAAAATATGAAATCATGGTTTCCTGCTGTGAGTGAAGTAAAAAAAAACAAATATTCAAGAGAATAAAATAACATGAAGAGGTGTTCATGAATGAGTGACTTAATTGAGTCTTCAATAAGTAAGGTATACATCATGAAACGTTGTCATTGTAAAGCAAAAAATCTTAATCTAAGTTAGGAGAGAGTCTTGAAAATTTTTCATTGTGTTCCGAATGTTTTTGTGTTTCATGTTCATTCGTTTAATTGGTGTAATGAAATGGGTTTTTCACGATGAAACAGTTTCTGTGTAATGAAACATTTATTTTTATCATATAATTGATTCAATGTATAATAGTGATACGGTTTCATTTTAGTGAAAATGGAAATAACGGTCATGAAAAACGTTTGATATGAAAAGGTTTCATTACGAAATAGTTAGGCAAATAGGTTGTTGTTGGTGAAAGATTTTCATTTTATAATTCATTGGAGGTCGAATACCTAGTTTCACGATGAAATAGTTTTATTTCATTTTATATGGAATTAAGGTTCATTTAAAGTTTCGATATGCAAAAGTTTCATTATGAAATAGTGGATCAAATAGGATGATACCGATGAACAATTTCATTTCATTTTATATGAAATTAAGGTTCTAGTAAAGCATAACTGTTCAAAGGTTTCAATTAAGAAAAAAAATTAAGAAAATATGTCAATGCCGGTGAAACATTTTAACATTATATTTTCAATTTTCAATCGAATTATGGTTGAACAAAAAATTTCACGATGAAATATTTTCATCTGATTTTAACTCAAATCAAATTAATTTAAATGTACAATGTGCAACGGTTTCAGTATGAAATAGGTATTCGAATAGGTTGATACCGATGAACCGTTTCATTTAATTTAATATGAAATTAAGGTTCTAGAAAAGCATCAATGTGCAAAGGTTTCATTTAAAAAAAAGGTAAGCAAATAGGTCAGTCTCGATGAAACATTTTCATATCATATTTCACTTGAATTTGAATAATGTTTCATCTAATATGAAATTAAGTTGCAGGTAATTGATGATGATTAAAATGTTTCATTGCGAAATGCTTAAGCCTATTTGTGGGTGATAATGATACAGTTTCATTATCTCGATGAATAAAGATCAATGAACATGTTTCGTCGTGATATATTATACTATAGTTAATCAAATAGGTTCAGTTTGTTGAAATAGTTTCATATTATACTTGATTCGAGATTGAAGAGAAAATATTAAGATGATGGAATTTCATTGTAGTGTCTATGACAAAAATTTGTATGTAATATTATGAAATAATTAAGAAAAATATTGTACTCATCCTAAAACATTTTCATTACTTCTTTTTTGAAAAGATTCATTAAAAATTAGTGAATATGTTGTGTTTTATTAATGATTTTGATATAACTTATTGATGGATAATATTTTAGAATATGTTAACATTAAAATAGTGTATAACTTAACAAATTTAATCCGTTTCATTAATAACATAATTTAT